TCACCGCAGTCATCCAGAGCGGTGAACGTATCACTGTTGTTGTGAAAAATGGTGATTCTTTACCACGTTTTCCAGCCCTAGTAGGTGGAAAATTAGGTCACAACGACCTAGTATTCACCTCAATAGGCCAATGCAGTGAATGCTTCACTGCAATGGACTCTTGCAGTGATGTTCTGACCTGCTTGCATACAAATAACTCATCCCTCCCACATACCTGCCTAAAAAATATGCCCCATTCCACTCAATTTTTTGCAAAATCTCTTCTTCGGCCAGCTTCCAGCAACTACGGATACAGAAACTCAAAATTTTCAGTATGATATAATTATGTACTGTTTAGATATTGATGTTTTAATAATTATATGTTTGTATTTAATGAATTGCGTTTAGTGGCAAATATGCTATGTTAGAGATATTTAGATTAATTATGGTATGAATCATGTTAGTTAGATGAATTTGTTTAGTATACTCATGTTATTGTAATGCTAATTATGGTTCATGTTTCGATTAGTTAGTTGTGATTGTTTATGGTTTTGGATGATATTATTTTCGTAGTCCTAAAAATATGGTGTTGGATATTGTTTGTGTAGCCCAAAGTACTATTTATACTATATCTTATTCTAGTTAAGCTAATATTTACATATTATAAATTGCATACATGAGTAAATTTAAGAAGTTTCGGCTTATTATTCGGTGGAATGGTCGAGTGACAAACTCTGACATTGGGATCGATTATGAAGTTAGTGAATCCAATATGCTGAAAATTGAGTCGAGATTTACGTGGCAAGAACTCTGTGACATTTGTGCAGACAGGATTTGTATGGGCGGATAGACGAGAGTTGGTAAAATTACTTACAAGTATCCAAACATGAGTGCTGGTGGGGTTATTTACGAAGAGGTTGTCATAAATGATGATGATTCGGTTACCATGATGATACAGTTCTTATCTGACAACGGGGTGCGGCTTGTAGAGGTGTATGTCAAGACCGAGGCGGTGGGTGAAACTCATTCTCACCAGTATTCTTATGATGATGGTTTTGTAGGAGGGTTTGAATGGGGTGGTAGTTCAAGCAACTACGGAGGAGGTAGTTCTGCAGGAGGTGTGCCATGGGAAGAATACACGCAACATGCTGAGCCCGCCCCATCGGTTGAGGCCAACGACGTTCAATGACTTGCTTGGGGGCCAGAGTGGGCTGACATTGAGAACACCTTCGATTTGGGCGTACTTAACATGAGCGAGAAGACGATGTTGGTGATGTAGGTCACGATGATCCTCCTGGGCCGAGCTATCCATTCGCCTCCAGCAACGAGGAAAGTGAGGAAGATTTGAGATTAGTCAGCAAGGAGGAAGAGCAGGACGATATCGACGATAACGAGGTGGCGTTCCGTGAGCCACCAACAGCATACTACACAGAGGTTCCATCTCAATATTTATATAGTCAGAACGATGCCCATGAATTTCTCCATATGCTGGTGTATAATCCGAATGCCAATTTGGAGTTGGGTATGGCGTTCACTTCGAAAGACGTTGTTCAAGATGCTTTTACCGAAGAAGCCATGCGGTGCAATATCGAGTGGAAGGTAAAATATTCTGATACCAAACAACTACATGTCATATGCAAGCATGATGGAGAGGGTTATATGTGGCAACTGCGTGCTGCAAATATGAAGAGAAAGGGTGCCTAGGTCATTTGAAAAGCAGAGAACAACCACAGCTGCTCATCATCCATACTTTCCCAGGATCACCGTCAACTTAAAGCAAAGAAAGTGGCAAGAACCATTAAGCACTTGATCGAGGCACAACCAGATATCAAGATCAAAGCTATCATGGCCGAGCTGAAAGATCGACATTCCTACACGATCAGGTACAAGAAGGCATGTCATGGAAAGTAGAAGGCCATGGCTGAGGTGTATGGTGATTGGGACGTTTCATATGCTTTACTCCCTAAACTAATGGACACAATGGAGGAGTCCAACCCTGGGACTGTTTTCATGCCTTGGTACAACAATGTACGAACTAAAGATCAAGTATGAGTACAGAATGAGTTGATGTTTCATCGTCTATTTTGGGCATTCAAACCATGCATTGACGGGTTTGCCTTCTGCATTCCAGTGATACAACTATATTACGGACTAATTATTATTGTACTAGTTCATATTTTAACTACGTAATATTTATATGAATTAAAATTATTTTCAACAGGTTGATGGAACTTTCCTTACGGGGAAGTACAGAGGAACTCTTCTCATTGCCACTGGCGTTGATGGAAATTTAAGTATTTTCCCCCTAGCATTTGCATTATTTGAAGGGGAGAACAGCTTAAGTTGGGCATGATTCTTTAGGGCGGAGGGTTGTAAAAAAACTCTAGTAATTCTTTATGATGCGGAAGATCGGACTTAGCCGCAACCATAGAGCATACTTAGAACGAAGAGTGGAGGAATAGAGGGAGAAAGAAGAATTGTGTTGTGGTGTGATTTGGAATGAGGGAGGAGTGGTGGTATTTATAGGAGAAGAACCTGCTGGAGAGAGAGACGGGGAAATCATCGCAGCCGTAGATTGCAGTCAAGGCACCGTAGTGGACGATCGCAGTCAATTCACCGCTCTCCTCTCTTGCGGTGATTGGCGCGGATCGCTGACATGTAATGTTGTGAGGTGTCGAATCTGGGAGTAAAACCAGAACCCGCGCCTCACTGCATCCTACGGTTGCAATGAAGGGGCACGAAGGCACGAATTAATGACGTGTATGGATTAAAGGATCACAGTTGTGGACCACTGCGGTGAACCAATTCACTGTCAATGTCCAGCGCGGTGATTGGTTAACCTTTATTACCCGCTGTGGTGATTAATTAATTGTGTTTAATGAAAACTGTGATTAGTTCATTGTCTTTGTCTACTGCGGTGATCTCTTTCACTGTCTTGGTTTATTGCGGTGATGTACAAACATACATATTTGAAAATTATTTTTATAATTAACGTATTTTGATAAAAAAAATTGGGTTATAGGTATAATATGCCCCTCTACTATGTCGTTTTATCAAACGTGCCCCTCTACTATTTTTTACATCAAACATGCCCTTGTACTTTGGAAAAATAATCAAACATGCCCTTATGTTCAAATTTTCATCCAAAAACCGTTAACCACGATCAAACTTTGGTTTGGGAGACACAAATGTCTAAAATATCCCTAATCATTTCAATTTAGAATTTTATTCGGTTCTTTTGTATAGCCAAATGATTCTTATAATTTCACTTTAACTAGACCCGGGAAATAAAATAGGGGACAAACTAAAATATTTCCCTCCCATTTGCCGATGTCTTGTCGTCTAAATCTCGGTTCAACCATGATTGATGATTTTTTCAATGAGAATTTTAACAGAAGGGCATGTTTGATCATTTTCTCAAAGTACAATGGCATGTTTGATGTAAAAAATAGTAAAGAGGCATGTTTGATAAAATGATATAATAGAGGGGCATATTATATATATAACCAAAAAATTTAATAACTAACGTATTCATGGATTTTTTCCAAGAACAAGTGGGTAAGGGGAATCTATATTCCTCAAGTAGCCAAACAAAACCGTAAACTGAGGCCAATGACGGAGAGATAAGGCTGTAAGAGATAATATATCATCCAAATAAAAAAAAACTAATAATAATAATACTCACAAAAAACTAATATATAGGTATGATGGAAATAGAAGAAATGAAAAGTAAAGTGCTCTGACGGCCCAACAACAAGAAGAGTGACAAATAGATACTCTACAGCTCAACAGAATCATGCTTGAAAAGGAAAGGTAATTAAAGCCTCCCCATTCCATTTCCCTTTCACACCCTAAACAATCCAATAACAATTAATTATTATTTTCCCAAAAAAATGAAATACCAATAGAAAGAAGCAAATATATATATATCCATATGGGAAATCACAAGAAATTAATTTCATGTTGATCAAAGGGACACTCCAATCTCCATCTGAATTAAATCCTTTGTAAGATTTACATTGAGAAAGCCAAGGTGGCAAGGTCGACTGAGATAAATGCTTATTTATTTATTTCTAATAATGATAGTTGCCTAATGTAGTGGTTCTCATTCACATTCTATTCTTTTTGTGTTCCACCCTATTCCATCATTTTTGTGGTGATGACTCTTTCTACTCTTTCTATTGCCTACTTGCACCTTCTTCCTAAATTTCTACCATAACCACACAAAATACTACCAACATGGCTTAGCCCAAGGGGAGTATTGACCAGTTTCAAAAGTTGGAAATAGTAATAATCAATTACTTTAGAAAGAAATAAAAAAAATTATGTTAGATGATTTGGACATAGTTTATGTGTTTAGTTCGTAGGAACAGAAAAATAAGAGTGAATACCATTATGACGAATGGATGATAGTATGAACGTAATTAATATATATTTTTTCTCTAACAAGTTTTAACCCGAATTATTCTAAGTAAGCAACACAACCAGATGCTTGGGCGAGACCTTATACTATGCGAGCGCCATCTCATATTCCACAACCTTCTTCTTGCCTCCTCCCTTGCCCCTTGGCCTGGTTTGTCCCATGCCTCTTTCCCTTTGTCGTTTGAATTTGTTCCCAAGAACAATATTTTACAATTGGAGTTTGAATCTCACTAATGAGATTGCACCAATTAGATAAATTTATCGATTTACAGTTTACTGACAAAATTGCAAAATAACATAATAGAATCGCAACAAATTGTCATTGTAGCGTATTTGCCGGTTAAAAGAACAATTAAAATTAGAAAAACGTGACAAATCATAATAAAATCAATGATGCAAAGACTTAATTAGTTAAAACATAAGAAATAAAAATAAAACGTGATATAACCAGAACAAAACCATAAAAATTTCTTATCAATTTAATTAACAATATGAGACTAAATAATTACGACTCAATCTGTACAATACAATTTCGCGCACTCACGCACCTGCTATTTATTACTGGTGCTAATAAAACTGACTTATATAGCACAAGAAGAATCTTGTCCTTCATCAAAACTCTTCGTCCATCTCAAAAGACAACAGCCAGCCAACAAACACTCTCTCCCTCCCTCTCTCTCTCTCTGTCTCTTCTTCTTCTCTCTCTCACAGAATCCAAAGGTTAAAACCAACAACAGAACAACCCCGAAAAAAAAGAAAAGAAAACAGAGAGCCCTGCCTTCAGCCACTTCCCTCCACCGCCCCTAAAAAAATAAAGTTTCAATCTTTACTATATCGCACACACTGCAAAAAGATCCCCATTTGCTCAATCTCCATTTCCCCACACGTCATTTCTGTTTCTTTCTTCCTCTCCCCCAAAAAATGGATGTCTGGTCTCCTTCTGTCGCCATGGATGACGAGTTTGAGAAGCTCCTTATTCGTATGAACCCCCCAAGGTCCAATCCTTACCCTCTTTTCCACCTCTTTGATTCAATTCCTGAATTGGGTTCCTCCCCAAGTTATCAATCTCGATTCATAATTCATAAATTTTCTTTTTCTCATTTGCCGTCTCCAAATGTTTGCAGGGTCACCGTTGATAATGCTTCGAGCCGGAAAGCCACCTTGATTAAGGTTATATTTTCAATTCAAAGCCTTCCTTCCTTCCTTCCCAATTCGGTTGTTTTTCCCCTTTGTTCTAATGTTTGTTTGGTTTGTTGCATTCTAGGTTGACAGTGCTAATAAACATGGGAGTTTGTTGGAAGTGGTACAGGTTCTCACTGATCTCGATCTCATCATTCGCCGAGCTTATATTTCTTCCGACGGCGAATGGTTCATGGATGGTTAGCTTCATCTATAATTTCTCCCCCAAACATTTCTCAATTCTGTAAATAAATATATTTAGTTTCCTTTCTTTGAAACTAATTTTTAGTTATTTTTTTATGTGGGCAGTATTTCATGTCACGGATCAGAATGGGAATAAGCTATCCGAGGATGATGTTGCCGACAGAATTCAACAGGTAAAATCAATAGGTCATACCATGTTAATCACTTTATCTTGGGTTGTGTAACCGTTTCTTTCTCGTATGGACATGGGAAATGGGATATATGTTTGAAAGTGAAACATATAAGTCCTAAAGATGCGTCATCAACATGTTTATTTGGATGTTTGTTGGTTTGCTTTCAACAGTCACTGGGACCAAGATCAAGAAGCAGCTTTCGATCCCTTAGACGATCAGTAGGCGTAGTCCAGTCAGCAGACGAGAACACAACGATTGAGTTGACAGGAAGGGATCGACCCGGTTTGCTATCAGAGGTGTTTGCAGTTCTTGCAGACCTCAAGTGCAATGTGGCTGCAGCAGAGGTCTGGACACACAATTCCAGGATGGCTTCGGTAGTTTACATCACCGACGAGGCTACTGGGGCACCCATCGACGATCCAGATAGGCTTGGGAAGATCAAGCAGTTGCTGTTGTATGTGCTGAAGGGGGATAGAGATTGGAGGAGTGCTAATACTGAGGTTTCGGTGGGGTGTACTCATAAGGACAGGAGGCTCCATCAGATGATGTATGCTGATAGGGATTATGATGTGGAGGAGGATGTGGATTCTGCGAATGGGAATAGGCCACTTGTCAATGTGGAGAATTGTTTGGAGAAGGGGTACACGGTTGTGAACTTGAGGTGTCGAGATAGGCCTAAGCTGCTGTTTGATACGGTTTGCACGCTGACTGATATGCAGTATGTTGTTTATCATGCCACCATCATTGCTGAAGGATCAGAGGCTTATCAGGTTTGTTGTTTCTCTATTGTATTTGTTGATAATTAGTAGTAGAAGGGTTTGTAGTGACTGTAGTATGTCGTTATCTGTTAGTAAGCACGTCCTTGATTACTCACATGCTCGCAAAATTCTCAATGTTGCCCGCTCCTCAAACGATTCTATGCATGTTGTATGTGTGAGTCGTGAGTGTTACAGTAGTTTTGTTAGGTTTCCCATTGCTTTTTTGTGAAATGTTTAGCTCAAAATTTATGTTCTATTCTGTAGGAATTCTACATCAGGCACATGGATGGATCTCCAATTAGCTCAGAAGCAGAAAGGCAAAGGGTGATCAATTGCTTGGAAGCTGCAATAAAGAGAAGAACATCTGAGGTCTTATTCTTCAACCATGGTTGCTTCCCTTGTTCTTCTTTTTTCATGTTCTTGATGTTTTGATTAAAGGAATGAATTTCTCTATGGCAGGGGATTAGATTAGAACTCTGTTGTGAAGACAGAGTTGGCCTGTTATCAGATGTGACTCGGATCTTCAGAGAAAACGGTCTCTCTGTGAGTCGAGCAGAGGTAAGTACCAGAGGCGACCAAGCAGTGAATGCCTTCTATGTGACTGATGCATCAGGACACCCTACAGTGAAGACTGAGACAATCGAGGCGGTAAGGAAAGAGATCGGTCTGGCGATCCTTCGAGTGAAGGAGGAAGCTTACTTGAGTTCCCCACCGGCTCAAGAAAGTGGCAAGTTCTCTCTCGGTAACATCTTTCGATCAAGATCAGAGAAGTTTCTGTATAACCTGGGCTTGATCAAGTCTTGTACTTGAGTAGTTTAAGTGGGGTTTTTAGGGTTCTGTAAATGGCTCTGCTGGTGAGATTCTGGGAAGTTAGCTGCAGTTACTAGATGTTGTCTAGGTCTTTTCTTTGGAGGGGTCAATTGGTAGTTGATCTTGGTTCATAAGCCTCATGAAATCACCTCTGTAAAGCTGTTTTCTCTTTCTGTTCTTTTGTAAATAGCTTTTGTTTTCCTTTAGCCTACTTGAGTCCAAATGGGTCAACTGTAAATTGGACACAATCATTGTTTCAACTAGAGCAAGGATGTTCATTAGTTCAATCTGTTGTGTTTTCCCTACTCCTGGAAGATTTGGTGAAGATTGTTGTGGCTGAAAATGAAGTTTTTAAAAAAACATAAATTAGACGAAAGAGTCAGGTAATTAACAAATCGGTCAATATTATTTCAGTTTTTATAAGATTTATCGTTGAAGTTTGGAATAATTAACGTAATTGTTGTTCGTGTTTATCTCTATCAACCTTTCTCGTCACAATATCTTGATTGACATATCAAGTTAGCTAAATTAATGATAAAGCATGCAATTTAGTGGAGATGGACAACACATTTAACCTCATCCTAACTTATTTCTTGAGTAAACTTCAATCAACCATTCATTCCTCCACCACCTACTTGGTGTTTAGTCAGAAAGCATGTGAACTTCTTTTGATATAATTTGGATGAGTTGACACACTGCTCTGGATATTTGGATGAAATACGAAATTGACGATAATAAGCAGCATGACAATCTTGTTATTCATTACAAAACTTCGGTGACAAGATAGTTAAATGTAAAAGTTGGGTGACTGATTTGGTACTAGTCCTAAAAAGAAACAAGTTGCCACTAATTGGCATGATCATTGATTTTTGTGGCAAAATCATTGATTTCTGTATCTCTACTGTGACTGTGAGGGCATAAGATTCCATGTTTCTTCCCAGTAAGATCTAGATGAGATTCTTTTAACTAAAAACAGTGAGGTCAATTTCTTTTGTTCAAGAGGTATCAGAAGGACAAAAAGTTTTCCTTTCTGTTGGATTTGGGAGTTGTGCTGTCTCATCTTTGAGATTCATTAAGGAGGACAACTGAAACTGATGACTGTACAATAGTGGATGATTTTTTATTGTACAATTTTTTTACTGAGTTCAAAAGATTCTCTGGCTGTCCCATTTTTTTACCAAGATCTCAGGAACGGAGAAAAGTTGAAAAGGTTAAAAAGATCCTCTTTTTTTTAGTGATGCAATTGCTATACTATTTTTCTAAAGATGGGTTTGTAGATTGTGATGTTAACTGTTCTGGTTTTTACTTTAGACCTACCACCTTGCAGAAGCAAAACTAATAAATTGAAAATTGGCCATTCCCACTTTGCCATGTTGCAATTCAGGACAATAATAGAGTTATTTTTGGGGCACTACTCTTGGAATGGGAAATTGAGAGAGAGCCATCTACTTTGACTTTTCTGTTGGGTTGCTCTAGAGAGGAATTAGTTGAGAAATTAAATTAGAAATAGTTTGTTTTTGTTGAAGTGGGGATGAGTCATGCCTTGATCAGCTCAGCACAAAAGCCCTATTAATATAATATAATATAATAATATAATATAGAAGCCACTAGAAAGTTGTTTTTCTGCTTTTTGGTTTTTAGGATTAGTAGAGGCGGGAGATTCGGTTATCGGTTAACCGCCGGTCAAACTGATAACTGACGGTTAATCGATTAATCGGTAACCGAAAATAAAACGCGTCGGGCGATTATCGGATGGCCAATTCCTGCGTCGGTTGACCGAGTAACCGACGATAATAACCGTCGGTTAACCGGCTAACCGAAACACAACCCCCTCCCCCTTTTACCCCCCAAAACGACGCCTCCTCTGAAGAGTCTTAACCCTAAATCCCTAATTGACCTGACCCCCTCCCCCTGCTTCTTCGCGACTTCGCCTTCGACCTTCGTTCAATCCTCTCCTCTGCTGCTCTGCGTAGTGCCGCGACAACGACGAACCAGAGAGATACAGACGTCGCCGGCTCGCCGCCGCCAGCCCCTTGCTCCTCCGCCACGAAGTCGCCGCCAGCCAGCGCCTTCGCTCTACCGCCGCGACCTCGCCTCGGCGCAACCATCGCCTCGCCTCTTCTACTCGGTGCTCGCAGTCCTCCTACTCCTCGCGACGCTGTCTCTGTGGCCTGTGCGACCCCGCCCCCGTCGAGAGCTCCGCCGGCGCCCTTCCTTTCCGGCGAACAGTGCCCCTCTGCAGGCCTACACCGGCATCTTCCTCCCCGAACAGCGGCGCCATCTCCCTCCCCGAACAACGACGCCCTTCCTTGCTCGGTTAACCGAGCAACTAACCGGTAACCGATCGGTCGGTTGTCGGATAACCGACGGGATCTGTCGGGCGGTTGGCGGTAGGGGTGTCGAGCTTTGCGGTTAATCGGTAACCGACCTTTCGGTTATCGGTTATAGCCGAAATAACCAAAAATCCAGCCCTAACTATAACCATGGGTTTTGAGTTTGTGTTTGTTCAACCATATCGCGTTAAGAGGTTATGAAATACTACTTCATTTTAAATTGTGTGTTGTTTTAGTTAAATCTTACCTAAATTATAAGTTTGGAGTTGCGATTAGAGGTATTATTTTATTGTTATCCTAACACAATTTGCTAGAAACTTATATTTATATCTGGACCTTTGGACTTATTAATTGGAACTTTCATATTATTTCATAAAGGTATTTTTACTTGAATTTTAGAATGTTCGATAAAAAGAATGTCGTAATATATGATGTATTTGAGTTTGAACCGATGACTATAGAGAGTTGTGACAAAAGGAAGGTTTTGTTTCCTCCTTTTGCTTTCCCTTTTTGTGTGTGTGTGGTTTTGCTAGGTGTGGTGTGGGTGGTGGAAAGCAAGTGGTAAACTGTGGAAAAAATCTAAAAGTACCACTGTTTAAAAAAAAAATTCCAAAAATACCACCCAATCCCAAAAAATTCCAAAAATACCACCCTTTTTCAAAAACCGCCACCCCACCCAGCGGTTTGGTCGAAAACCGCTTGTTGGGGGCGCGGTTTTGGACCAAACCGCGGGCCTAGGGGGCGGTTATAAAAAAAAAAAAAATTTGGACCAAAACCGCTGGGTGGGGTGGCGGTTTGGCCCAAAACCGCCACCCCAACCAGCGGTTTGGTCCAAAAGTTCGGTCGAAACTTCAAACGAACGTAACTTTGCACTCGGGTATCCGATCGTAGCGATATTTTTTTTCATTTCCCATAACTTTTCAAGATCTACAACATTTACTAGGATGAAATTTTCAAAACAGGAACTATTTGTGGATGTACGGGACCTTGAGAATAACTTTACCTTTACTTTTCAGAAATCCATGTACATTTTGAAATTATGATTATATTAAAAGTTGTAGATCTTGAAAAGTTATGCGGAATAAAAAAAAATTCATGACATTCGGATTTTGGAGCACAAAGTTATGGCCGCCCAAAGTTTGACGAAATAAAAAAAGGTCGTTCGGGGTGACAAATGACGTTTTTTCGAGACGAAGACGGAACCCGACCGTTTGAGACTTGCAAGATCTCAAAAAGTTATTCGGATTCAAAAAATGGAGGCCGCAAACTTTTTGAGATCTTGCAAGCCGCAAACCGCCGGGTCTCGCCTTTCGTCAAACTTTGGGCGGCCATAACTTTGTGCTCCAAACTCCGAATGTTATGAACTTTTTTTTGATTCTGCATAACTTTTTAAGATCTACAACTTTTAATATAATCATAATTTCAAAATGTACATGGATTTCTGAAAAGTAAAGGTAAAGTTATTCTCAAGGTCCCGTATATCCACAAATAGTTCCTGTTTTGAAAATTTCATCCTAGTAAAAGTTGTAGATCTTGAAAAGTTATGCGAAATGAAAAAACAATCACTACGATCGGATAGCCGAGTGAAAAGTTACGTTCGTTTGAAGTTTCGACCGAACTTTTGGACCAAACCGCTGGTTGGGGTGGCGGTTTTGGGCCAAACCGCCACCCCACCCAGCGGTTTTGGTCCAATTTTTTTTTTTTTTATAACCGCCCCCTAGGCCCGCGGTTTGGTCCAAAACCGCGCCCCCGACAAGCGGTTTTCGACCAAACCGCTGGGTGGGGTGGCGGTTTTTGAAAAAGGGTGGTATTTTTGGAATTTTTTGGGGTTGGGTGGTATTTTTGGAAATTTTTTTTAAAACAGTGGTACTTTTGGATTTTTTCCGTAAACTGTGGCCTGCAATGCTAATTAATAAGCAAAAGGCTGGTTCAAGAGAGTGAGTGATAGACAAAGATGGAATCGATTCTCTAATCACAATAAGGTGCAAAAGCCAATAGCAACAACCATTTGCATTTAGCCATGTCCCCCTTTGTGCAAAATCTAGTCTTTTGGATTTGCTTTAGTTCACAGCAAAACTTCAGCCGCCTTTGTTGACACCTAAAATTAATTTGGCCGGAATTAAATGCCGCATTAATTAGTCTCGTCATTTAAGTCGATACCGCTCGTAAAAAACGGTATCGTTGGGAGTCGAGCGGCGTTACGGAGAACTAAAACGGTACCGCAAGGAAGCTCAGCGGTGCCGCGGTATGCAAACGACACCGCTTACCGAAAAATAAGAGGGCCGCGCGCGGGTATTGGAGAATGCGTTTTCTCTAATTAATTATTATTTTTATTCCTTGTTGGATGGGAAGAAGCGGCACTGAGGGGAGTTAAAACGGTGCCGCGGAATTAAAAACAGTACCGCGAGGAAGCCCAACGGTACCGCTATACAAGCAAACGACAGTGTTTAATAAAAAAACAATGTCGCAAAAGGAAAAACAAACGGAGCCGTTTTGGCGCTAACGATGTTGTTGGTCGTGGACTAGTGATGGTCAGATTAGTTAATTAATATTTTAATGACTTCTTAGCACGGTGTCGTTAGTTGAAAACGATGCTGCAAGGGGAAGGAACGACACCGCGGATTTAAAGACGATGCCGCGAAGGGGCCAAACGATGCCGCAGTTGTTAAAACGACAGCGTTAAAGTTAAAGCGGCATCGCAAAGTTCAAGCATCCCAGAAATAGAAAACGATGCTGTTTAATTACTAACTGCGCCGCCAAGTGAGAGTTTGACAGCGTGTCAACAATGATGGCCGGTTTAATTAATTAATATTTTAAGGATCAGTTAAGACGGTGTCGCTTTAGCTGAAAACGACATCGTGGGAGAAGTCGACACCGTCGCGGTACTGAAACGATGGTGTTTAATTAAAAACAACGTCGCAGTGACGAGAGTTCAGCAATGGTGGATTTCGGCTCAGTGTCGTTTTGGATCAAGTTGCCACGTGCTCAAGCGGTTTCGCACTCGTGGGAGTTACGCAACAAGGAGGAA